CATATCTTCGTATACCTTTTTTAATCACATCGCACTAATGAAAAGAATGTTACTTTATATATTTGTGTAAAGGATTCTACGATAAATTTATACTTTCTATTATTTATTTACATATTTGTATTGTTTGAATACCGTTTTATATAGTTAGGATAACGCTCTAACTACTATATAGGTTATTTTCTGAATATTTTCTTCAATTTATGTGTTTCATATCTAAGGAATTTATTGGTAGCAAACTGGTACACCGTTACTCCACTTTACACTTAACATTTTCAACATACTAAGTGTATATAAGGAATTTCTAGACATATTTATCTATTTTATTTCATTCAGTCTTGAACATCAATTGTAGTAGTACAGTTAACCACATCAACCTAACTTAATGTGTTGCTAGTGGATAATTTTATTAAGTGAAATGTATTTTATAATTAATTTAATTAAAAATTAGTATATTAAAGGAAAACTGAAAATATTCAGTTCAAACAAAAAAGTGAAACAAAGAAATTATAAAATAAAAATAATTATCGATAATTAATTAATTAATAATTAATTTATTGTTGTTGAATTACAAATCATTACGATAAAATTAACATTGGAAATACAATAAATGATAAGAATAATAACACTAATATTTTTTTCTGATGTAAAATAAGGGGATTAATATCTCTCGTGTAAGGAATTCCATTCTCGGTCCATTATGGATTGTTTATGAAACGTATAAAACATATGACGAATCAATTAAGAAAATTTCAAGCTAATTATAATATGAATTTAATGGTGTAATCGCAAGATAAAATCTAAGGCGTTACTTTTAAAACATCTTAAAGAAAACTGATTGACGTACACATTTTAAACTAAAAGAACGGGGGTTAACGTCAGGGAACGTCACGAAATACAAAATAAAACAAATCTGATAAGCGCATATGGCAGTTCTCCGCATCAATGGCGTAACCTAAACCGTGTATCTTTAAAATAAATAAATAACTTTTGAATTTAAACCAGTTATTAATTCAGTGAGACATTGTAACATTTAGATCAGCAATCTTTTTATTACGATAATATAATAAAAGTGTTATAAATATAGTGCAGTATTAATTGAAATTATATGGATAAATATGCACATATCGTATTTTCTGAGATCGTAATGTAATATATGTATTTATTTTTCTGGAAAATCATTTAAATGTAAAAATTAATTATAAGTCGATAGAATATGAATGATTAATTAGTCGTTAAATTACATTACATTAATTGTACTTTGAATTGGGTTCTTGCAGTTTGAATTGTTTATACAGGGTGTCCCAGAATATGTGGGCAATCTCTAGGATTTATACAGCGGATGTTAAAATAATTTGACAAGATCCTATAAAAATTATCCCTAGACCCCGTACGGAGATACAGGCCCTTAAAGGACGCCATTGAAAATCAATTTTTTGTAATAACTTTTAAAATACTTTGTGTAATTTACTTACTTGTAGGAAAAAAAATATACATAAAATTAGCATTTCTTTTAGATAGACACATACAGAATGCAAAATTCATCGGTTTATTTCTCTTTATGGATGTAATAAAATCATATTAAACAAAAATAGTTTTCCTCGAAAACAGTTCATTTTGTCGATATCAACGAAGAGTACAATTTTTTAGTTTAAGGCTCAAGCTATCTAAAAATATTACTTTTGCGCCTTTATTGCAAGGGGTGTAAAAAATTGACATTGCTGACAAACCAAATAAGCCAAATTGTCCATCGTATTAAAAATAATTAAATTACATAAAGTATTTTAAAAGTTATTAAAAAAAATCGATTTTCAGGGGCGTCCTTTAGGGTCCTGTATCCCCGTAGGGGGGCCCTCATGTTAATTTAACGTCCCCTGTTTAGATCCGAGAGATTGTCCACATATTCTGGGACACCCTGTATATTTGCTATTATCTAATATTTTTATGAATATATTATATATTATCATTTTTCATAATTTCTATTAAAGATATAATATAAAATCTATATTGTGGTTAACGAAAAATAACACACACACTATGCAAATTACTGTTTTGTTTCATTTATTACTATTTCCTTTGTTGATTTGTGTAATTAATTCTGTACAAACTTTCTCAAATTTTGTTGTGTGACACAGAATTCGGATTGAAATATTTTTTTATATCAAATGATCAAAAAACAAAAAGAATTTTGGGTCCAAATAGTCGTGATGTATAAGTATACCTGTATAATTTTAATGTATCACGAAAAATGGCTTTTATCCTCGACTGTAGTGTTTGTAAAGGAATTTAATAGTTTCTTATTAGAACGCTTTTTATTTTTATGTACAAGGTTATTCAAACAATATTCTATCTACCTTACCTTTTTCATTTTCGTATTTAGAAAAAATTGTATTCACCGAAGTTGTTTTCTTATAATTTCAAAACTGTACATAGAAAAACAATCAAAATTTATTTTACCGAACGCCCTATTTTTTTTTAAATTTGGACGAGAGTGCTTCCTTCACATTTTATTGATATGAGGTTTGACACGTCCACTTCTGATAACAAGAGAGATATGGCCAGAGTTCACTTTTACCACACTTTTTGGCGATATTTTCCTTATATCTAATAATAAGACCTACCAGACCTTATACCATTGTAATCCTGAGGTAAAAAGAAAGGATGTGTTTTCTTTAAAGATATACATATATTCGAATTGCGACATTCAACTGTCAGTTTCATTTCAAAATTAGTTTTGAAATCACAAAAAATTTTTTACAACTTTGAGCCATATATTTTTCTCTAAATAAATAAAGCATGATTAACCCCATTTCTAAAAAAAATCTACGTTTCTATAACACGTTCATTTCAAATTCAAACATGAATAAATGAACAGAAATAGCATTTTCTAAAACTTTCAGGGTACGCCTCTGAACCGTTGTCAATGGATTTACGTTACACACGGTGGCTTGATTGACCATCGACTATCCTTTTCACATAGACATAGACAGTGACTAAATAACACGATTGCCTCGGCTAAATGCATCTTGCTTCTATTCATGTTACGTTAGTCTTAATTCACAATTTAATCTTTAACTGTACTACTATTGGATGGCATAAAAAGTGTAAATAGCCTTCGTGATCGGCGTCACTTAGTAGTGAGTAGTATTATTGTTAATAGCATTTGGACTTGGGTTTAAAATATCCGTTTACAGTGGGATTTAGATTGTTACGGTTCTCAATACATCATATTTAAAAATAAAGTTAGTAAGAATTTTTCTTACTGAAGTAGAAATACTTTATTTATTAAAAAAGCACTAAAAAGGCGACACAAAATATTACGACAATTGGTACTTCTATACATCATAAGTAATTTGAGTAATGAGTAATTATTTCATAAGTACGCTGACGGATTAAAATAATTAAATACTTACGTTATAAGAATTAGTCACAGGTTGTCAAATGAAATATATTATAAATACGTACGCCCATTGTAAATTTGTAAAATCGCATAATGAGATTAAATGAATACATACCACAGACAATATAGCTGGGCGATAGCTATTTTGTCTTAACCTAATCAAATATACATATTCATTTGTTATTAGAAATATTTCGGTTATTTATTTTTTTTGTAATATACAGGGTGATTCAGAACTTATCCAAAAAAAAAAAAATTCTGAATGTACAGGGGACCCTTACAAATACAATTTTGTAAAGAAAAAAATCAAAAACGGCAGTTCGAAAATGTTTTAAAAATACACTTCTGCACGACACTGGAAACTGGTCCACTGTAAAACCTGACCTCGCACAATGGGACCGGCATGGCGGTGTGATAAAAACGGACAAAAACATTCGCAAGGAAAGAAATATGTAAATAGAATTTTATCGCACCCATTTTATATCGGCAAATTCAACTGCTTTTGCCTTTATTAATTAATAAAATTAATTTGTGTTTTTAAATAATAAAATTATTTGACATACCCGATGTTACAACAATTGTTTAAAATTTTATCCACCGATGTGTGGATTTGGCTCCGTTGTACTCAGTTTCTACGAACTAACACAAATGTTATCTTGTTTCACCATAACACAAATGCTTCACCATAAATTAAAACGATATCCATGAACTCCGAGTACACGCAAACCATTTTTGACACAAACTACCCATTTTTTTACACTAACTACTAAAAACCTGTTGTAAACACCACAGATAGCAAGTACCTAAATATCGCAACGACGATTGCAATATCCGAATTCAGTATTCGGAGTCGCTGAGGCCACGTGGCGAATGACGCTAGAGACTACAGTTGTCCAGCTATGTAGTGGTTGAATGTACTATAACTTCAATATTTTTTTCTCGGAAACTATAAGGATTTTACAAAAATTTTTTTTACGACATTGATTCCATTTCTCATGCTGCATCTATTTCCAAATTTGTTTTGGATAAGTTGTGAATCACCCTGTATACCTAATATTAAAGCATTTTGTTTGGGTGATAATAATTTCAAAACCTTATTTAAAACAATCATAGCTGAAAACTAGTTTAAAAACGTTATTAATACTGATTTCTTACATTTCATACGTATTGTTATGTTGATTTTATATAATTTTGTATAATTTTGAGGTATTATATTAAATATGTCAATGCATGCCAATATTGTACATACTCTTAATATTATCTTTTTTATGGTATCAGTTTAAAAATATATAAAATGTATATCACCAGAATCGAAAATATAGATTTCGAAAAGTCGATAATTTTTAGAATTGCTTTAAAATAATTATAATTTTATCATTACAACTCTTGCATTTAAGATTTATAAAATAAAAAATAATAAAGTTAACTGGGCTAACTAATTCATCTGTATAAATGTTATAAAGTATTTGCAAAGATCTGTATAAGGTGAAAATTATATTTTAAAATCTCCACATCAGAAACCTTTAAGGTTCAAATTAAATAAAGGACAAATAGCTTGTTAAAATATTTCCTGAAAAATTGTAACTCTACTTTTTTTTTTCAGGACAAACCACACAAATGCAATCTATGCAGTAAATCCTTCCCCACACCTGGCGACCTACGATCTCATATGTATGTCCATTCTGGATCCTGGCCCTTCAAATGCCACATTTGCTCAAGAGGATTTTCAAAGCACACTAACCTTAAGAATCATTTGTTCCTCCACACAGGTGAGCCCTTTAGGAATTTAACTAGTTTCTTCTATGATAAATAAATCAGCGATATTAATACATACTTGTATTATAAATAATTCTTCGAAAATACAAAAAATATTATATTTAAAGTGATTTGAGGTTTGACAATAAAATCCGCGAACTTGCCGTAGTAAAATGTGAGTGTCAGTGATGAATATCACTGTCGTCATCTTCAAGGTACTTCCTTTGGGATATTAATAAATATGTTTGAAATTCGCTTTATTTCAATATTCCCTGTGCCTTCGATAATGGAAAATGTGTCTTCTTATTTACTTGCTAGATCTCACGTAGCTATCGTTTGAACAGATGCATTATTATGTCGTCGACAAAAAGCTTGAGACTTATTGTCTAAAAGCTTTATATTCATATAGTAAACTGAAAGTCCAAATTTGGAACATATTTCAAATGGTTGAACGAAACAAATACAATATTTTCCTATTAACTTTCGTTACAATAATGCAATATCCTCCATAATCTCCTAATTTAATCCGCGATAATGTCTTTATGGATATTTTGATACAAAGGAATGTATCAGCAGTAGCTAAACAGAAGCTTGGAAGATGAATTCACAGAACCTGTCTGGTCCTAAAAATGAACGAGGTTCCAACTTTGGTACTTAGCTATCCAAGGAGATTACTTGAAGATGATCACAATGACAAGCATTGTCACATTTTGCAATACCAATATATATTTTCAAAATTAGTGCGTAAACTTCCAGTCACCACAATTTAGTAATGGAACAGGAAGTAGATCTTCAGCTTTACCAGATTCATATTGTCCGCAAGCTTCAGAAGCAAAATATTTGCATAGAAGACCTGACCCACGATTAAACATCAACAACTTCACATCTTATATGTACAGGGTGGTCCGAATTTTATGCAGGAAACTTCGAGGGCAGATAGATATCTTTAAAATAATAGGTATTTGCCTTATAAACATAGGTCTGGAACGACTCCGTTTTAGAGATACAGGGTGTTGAATTTGTTGAAAAAAATTGATTTTTTGTTATATTTGGGGAATCTATTAACCGATCTCAATAGAATTTGGTAATGATGATGTATGATAGTAGGCCTTGCATTCCCTAAAATATGAGCTCTAAAGGTTCAACCAGTGGTGTACAACCACTGCATTTTTTGCAAGTTATTGTAACGGATTTATATTCTAATGCACAAAATACGTAAAAAAGGTTACTTGATTTTTTTTCCTAAGATTCACTGTTCTCAAGTTATTCATACCACTTCTAACCATAATATTATAAGAATATTTATGTTCAGTTGTACACCACTGGTTGAACCCTTAGAGCTCATATTTTGGGGATGTAAGGCCTACTATCAAATATTATCTGTACCAAATTTTATTGAGATCGATTAATAGACTCCTGAGATATAAACAAAAAATTAATTTTTTTTCAACACCCTGTATCTCTAAAACGGAGCCTATAAGGCAAATACATTTTATTTTAAAGAGATCTATCTGCCCTTGAAGTTTCCTGCATAAAATTCGGACGACCCTGTATAGTAGAAATGTGTTCATGTATTAGTGACGAAATTTGAAAAGTTTTTCATTACTAAAATAAGTTCTGAATCTTATACAAAATAGCGATTTATGAGGGTCGTCCTATAATCTTTTAAGGGGGAAGTATTAAAGAAATAAAATTCAAACTTGGTACACCGCAATTCCCTCATAGTAGGCTACATTTATGTAAAATTTTATCAAAAACTAATCAGTGTCATCGTAATTTGGGGGAAACTAACAGTTATTTTATGTAAACTCTATTTTACAAATTTCGATTGACTGTTTTCAATCAAAACTTTTTTCATAGAACACACAAATTGGTATGTAATGATTGAAAGTCAAAAAAATATGACAATGCTTTGAATAATCTTAGCAGTGAAGGGTATAGGTAATCAGAATGACCAAATTTGGAACAAAATTTATTTCAATGAATCAACCAGATGAATAGTATCAACCTTTCCATAATTACATGCCCCTAATTAGAGAAAAATAATGGGCTTTTATCTAGGGTTCGTTGATGATAAGCTCCTGACATATTTATATTTGTTTAAATTTTATATGAGAGTAACTACCATGAGAAAACTGTATAATTGTACCAAGTCTCCATGTACCTGATTAATTGAACAAATACTGTATTTCACATTAATTTATCCTTTAAATAAAGTTTAAAAAAAAATCGTTACTCTTGTTTTTTTAAATTTTATATTGCAACGTCGCTATTATCTTTTAATCAATGTAATTTTGTTATAATTATGGGTGTTATTTCCTATATCATTTAATATCCTATTCTTTTCTCAATTGCTAATACTTCCTTCATGTTCCTAAATATATTAAAGTATCAACAAAGGATACGTTGTGGTTAAATTTTTTTTTGGTTATTTGATTCTTGAACTGAAAATAATCCAATCAACATTTATCATACCAACTATTTAATTAAAAATTAAATATTGTTATTCCGCGATTTCTTGCGAGAGATTAATTGCTGCTGATGTCTAATGCACGGCTTGGTGGTCTACCATAACAACACTATCGACTATCAACATTGCTTTAGACAGAAAAAAAATCCAATCAGTCCTATCAAACAATAAAGATATCTAGTTCAATTATCGATCGTTCGGCTACCTAGCCTATCATCCTATCTAAAATCTCGTCTGATAACCGGCATTATTATGAGAGAAAATCGTTCTTGAGGTAGTGAGTGAAGTTGCTATTAATTGGCCTCTGCTGCAAACTGAACGGTAGCAGAAGAGGGTACAGCCCAAGGCACACAGTGGCCATGATTACTGGGTTCGCTATCGAACTACTGTCCGCGAGTAATTATACGTTCTCCTTCAATCTAACCGACCAGTATCCAATCTATACTCTTTCTTCTTTTGTTTTCAGCATTTTGGCTACTTCAGTATTTTAATTTACTCTGATGCAAATTATAGAGAGAATGTGGGCAGTGAAGTGCATAACCGTCTATGGAAAGGTGTGATTGCCGTATACTTAATTTCTAACGGAGTAAGTCGTGGTTGAGAGTGATAAATAATTTGCGAAACATTAAATCTATATAAAAGTATATTATATTCATTATTCTTATACGGTTGTAGACGTTAAAACTGTTTATAAGATGACAGGAGTCTTAAAGCAGGGCTTTGATTGGGATCAATTTATTCTTCACCAGTATCGAGAATGGTCCAAATATGACACATTTTTGGCTTAAAATTTTCGGCTTTTGGATTGGTGCGGTGTAACGCATAGGTGGCATTGCATTATATATTACTTTTACATTATACATTACTTTTTGCAGTTTTTCTGTAATCTCAAATATAATTTATTGATTTGTGAAATTTTTTAAATTTAATAAAAATGTTATTTCATTCACTCTCACTCAATGGCGTACGAGATATTCTTCCAAAAACAGTTTTTCAGTTATAACCACGTTTTATATTATTTTTGTAAAATGTAAATGTAATGCGTACAATGATGGATGTATACAGAAATACATAATATTTATACAAAAAAAGAAACTGTAAACCAAAAGTTATAGAAAAATAACTTCCTAACTACTCTTGTCCATCTCTTAGGATCTCTTCGAGAATTAATGAAACCAAAGAAGTGTCAAACTTGGTTCACTTTCCGTGTACATTTATTTTAAAAAGGAATGACTACTGGCTAGAAGTACAACATGCAGTTAGTTGTTTCTCATTATAAACTATTTAACTTTTAACAAGGATATATCTTTGTTAATGATAATAATCTATTTATTATATCATGTACAATTTGTTCATTGGAAAGTTGTATTTTTCACACTGGTAATATATTTCTAATTTTTACTTATACAGGGTGATTCAGAACTTATCCAAAAAAAAAATCTGGATGTACAGGGGACCTTTACAAATACAATTTTGTAAAGAAAAAATAAAAAATGTCAGTTCGAAATTGATTTAAAAATACACTTCTGCACGGCACTGGAAACTGGTCCACTGTAAAACTTGACCTTGCACAATGCGACCGGTATGGCGGCCGGCGTGACAAAAACGGACAAAAATTTCGCAAGGAAAGAAATATGTAAATAGAATTTTATCGCACCTACTTTATATCGGCAAATTCAAATGCTTTTGCCTTTATTAATTATTAATAAAATTAATTTGTGTTTTTAAATAATAAAATCATTTGACATACCCGATGCTGCAACAGCAATTGTTCAAAATTTTATCCACTCACGTGTAAACACATTTGGGTCCATCTTATTCACTTTCTACGAACTAACACAAATGTAGTCTTACTTCACCATAAATTAAAACGATATCCATCAACTCTGAGTTGCTATACACGCAAGCCATTTTTGACACTAACTACTAAAAAACTGATGTAAATACCACAGATAACAGGTAAAAACTACCGCAACGACGAATTTCAGTATTAGGAGTCACATGGCTCTCCACGCGTATTGCGAATGATGCTAGAGACTACAGTTGTTCAGCTATGTAGTGGTTTAATGTGCTATAACTTCAATATTTTTTTTCTCAGAAACTATAAGGATTTTCCAAATTTTTTTTTTTTACAATATTGACTCCATTTCTCATGCCACATCTATTCCCAAATTTTTTTGGATAAGTTCTGAATCACCCTGTATATAGCGATTTAAAGGCGGAAATTTCAGTAGGCGATAGGACAAATTATTTTAAGATAAACGTTTCATATGGAATTTTTTGCAATATTAGTAAAAAAAATACTGGGATACCAATATTGTCCTTAAATAACAAACAAATTAAAATAATCTTCATTAGTATAATTTAAGCGATCCCGAGGCATTTGTATTTATATTTTCGGCAAAAACTATTACAGACATAACAATAATTTGACAAAGGTCAAGTTATTGTAATTGTTTTTTGACAAAAAATCTGTCCAAAAAATAGAAAATTGCCAATATATCTAAAAGTAGTAACGCCAACCCTGACAATGCTTATATGACA